TTTGTATGAAAACTAATTTTTAAAATAATTTCATATTTTAGAAATGCTCTTAAAGGAAGCTGATTAAAAGTTTTTCTAATCAAATGAAACACTTTTATAAAATTAGCTAAACAGATCCAAAAACAACTTTTGGATACTCATAACAACTGTGCCAAACAGGTCCTAAACCACGTTATCTTCTACCTATGTAGACAATACTCCAACCATTTAGGCCAACATTTATTCTACTCCAACCATTTAAATCGACATTAATTCTTACTACTACATTCATTTATGCCAATTCTACTTTTACGACTAGACACTGCATCAACAAAAAGACATGCACTAAGAGTTCACATCCTATACACGTTTCATAACTTCATTCGCAATGAAAGGAAAAAATAATAATAATAAGTTTATCAGAATACAAATAATGATGATGATGATGATGAAATTGTAAAAAGACATCAATATTAATAGCAGTTGATGAAAAATTGTAGTTCCATCACTAAAGTGAAGATAAAATATACAACTGTTGCTTTTTAAAGTACAAATTTGTATAGAAACCAATCAACTTTCTAACAGAATATTGATACCCTAAACATTAACCCAAAAAAATATAAATACCTTCATTAATACCATAATGAAGATATTTTACTATCCTTAAAAGCAAAATTTTCATCATGTAAGACCTCAGATAAGCTGAATCCCCAAGATCAGTCCATAGCAGACTGTGCCAAGGATTCAATCAAGACGTGCCAACTCGTCCCACAAACAAAGATCAGACTGAACCTATTCTACATTACCTCCTACAATCTAACCTGTAAAAATACATGAATGCGTATGCAATCGTTGGATTTCCAGAAGTCAGAGTGGGCATGTGCTGGAGAAAGGATCGAACAGGTTTTGGTTAAAAAAACTGTTAAGGAAAATGGCTTCCCAGTCGTCAACTCGAATGGACTTCATATCAATACATTCCTTTGAAAATAGGGTTTGTACGACATATGCTAGCTCCATATTCCTCATACTCTGCCTTTGTATGGCAAGCCTGTTTGCAGCAAAAGAAAATGAGTTCAACTTACAAAAAAGTAAACAAAACGTGATAAATTACAATACAATTAAGCATAGGGACAAGGAAATGGGAAATCAATGAAAATGTGACGACTCAAAAGGTAAATTTGTACGACAAGTGTATGTCTAATGCATAGATGAAGAAAGCTCGAAACTATTTGACAGGGAAACATCTAAAAGGAACTCACGCNCTATTTGACAGGGAAACATCTAAAAGGAACTCACGCTCTTTGGTATAACGAAACAAGTTTGGGCCCGCATGCAAAAGGAGAAAAAAAAACGCGAGATGACTTTGTAATCTATACAAAAGATTGATGTATCCTCTTAGCATGGAAAAAAACCTACCTAATTTGGCCCACTCTTAAAATATAATGAGATGCTCATTCCTTTTCTTGAAAGACGACTTGTCGGTATCTAAATTTAAGCCAAGTCAAATCCTAACACCTACGCGCTAACATCATGTTTCTCCCGAAAACCAAATTTACCATATGATCAATTAAAGTCCCTCCTAAAATTGAGATTCTAATTTCAGTAATAGAATCTACCGTAAAAAACTCGGGAGTTGATGCAAGTACAGAGCCTCCAAACCAAACTGCATATCTCTGGATAGGGTGGCTGACAACATTCACTTCCACTGGTTGTGCCTGGAGAAACACCCCTTACAGTCAATGCTTATAATGTGTTACTGATTAAAGCTCAACTGCCAATACATATGATAGTGATGTAGATTACGCACTTTAATTTCTCCACCAAGCTGAGCATCATGTGCAAGAATCCGAGCATCAACAATCTTTTTCAGCTCCCGTTGTAACCTCCGGTGGAAATCTTTGAACATGGTTGATCCTCCAGATAATACAATATTCTGCAATACTCATAAATGGGCATAGGCCTTAATATTCAATAAATAAATAAATAGGTGTATTCGGTTAGTAATTCACACCACCTTATATAAAGCTCGTCTCGTATCTATTGGAGCGGACTGGATACATTTATCTATCACGGCTGGTAAGGGGGTGGCAAAATCACTCTGGTAAATCTCAGGGTTGAAAAAGACCTGCACAACAAGCCAAGTTAATCAACATAAATGTTTCCACCATCCTGTCTGTTTTAAGCCTCTGAGTAGTACAATCCCATCAACTCTTTTCTACATCAATTTACTTCTCTGACATGATGGTTCAAAACTAAGAATATGAATCTTATGACACATAATTTCTGGTATTATTTTTTGCCGCCTACTGGAATAACTATTTCCAAATCTTTGACATGAATCCTGTGACAACCAAATTTTGGTCTATTCCCTTTTGTCACATTGGAACAAGTGAAACTATGATAACAATCTCAGTCGCAGGAGAACCAGGTAAACTCAGACTACAATTAATTTACATGGACTTGAGATAAACCAATGTAAAATTATTCATCTATAGCAGATGCTCCTTTAATGGTTTACAGCGATTGTTCAAACAAAGTATGCGATAGCTTAGACTTGTAAACCAACAAAAACAATACTTTTCAGCAATTTTATAATGAGAACATGCAACAATGAAATATAATGTTTCAAATCAAGCTTAAAGCCAAAGAACATTGCAAACCTCGGGTCCGAGAAACCGTTCATAGCCAATATCACAAGAATATGGGGCCCCGGTCTTCGGCTTAGTACCTCTCCATTGCTTAATATATTTTGCTGGTTCTTTGTCATGCTTATTGAACTCCTGAAATTGCCAAAGAACAAAGACTTGTTATAAACAATCCTCAACATATCTCTGAGAAAGTTGACGCGCAAATAAAATAAGAAAATTCAGAGCCTGTAACAATACCACTCTGGTATGCAAATTCAAGTGTATGAATATAGAGTGAAAGAAAAAAATGCATATAATATACGAAATTGTAAACGAGGGTCAATAAGCAATATTGCTTCTTATTCGGGTTGGAGATCAGAGGACGGCCTCAGTTTTAGAGTCAGCGGTCTATAGACATACCTTGACAATATCAGAACAAGTGTAGCAATATGTTTCCTTGACTTTCCGTGCTACTTCAAAGGACTGCTCGGGTGGAACATGCTCCCCTCTTTCCTATATTAAACAAAATGAAGAATAATAAGAATCCCAATAGTAGGACTGGTAGAACAATTACTTTTTCCGCTAAATTATTGTGTTCCTACTCCAAGATTACAAATTATCACTATGTGCATGTTTCGGTTAAATAAACTTATAATTAAGTTGGTCAAACTTCAATTTTAACCACACATTTTGTAGGGCTCGCAACTACTACCCACTTATCCAACACTCAATTCTATCAATTTATAATTTAAACAACTTAAGAACAATCCAAAACAAGCTTTATGTCAGATATGAAATAATAGACTAAACCAGCTGCTTCTGGAATATATTTTCCATAACACGGTGATTTACAGCAAGGGAGAATGAAGCTCAAAAGTCCAGAAGAAAGGAAATGATTGTCATGTTATTTATTCAAATAGTCAATAAATATTCATGGTAAAGGAGCTAAGTTATAAAATGAGGAAGGACGAGGAATTTCTTTTATACTCTAATTAGAATCTTTGCCAACCTCCATGTCAGAGCACGCCTGAAGAAATTAGTACTACTGGTGAGGCAACCCCATTAATTATAAATTTGGACATTTTTCAGATATAAGACTAAACTTGAAAAGATGAAACAGCAAGGTAAAACCATAGCTTTCATCTCTCAGTGTAGAGTGCACAAGCTGTTGGTGTTTTTTATGCATTTCACCGCACCTATGCCTTTCAAAACACGTGAGATATCACAAGAGTAGTGATATGTGCAAACTTAAACTACAAGGAAAAGAAAGAATGAGAGGCTCAACAGTGAAGAATGTTTTCTCTTGTGCAAGATCCCCCAATAAAATTCTTCAAGATAAACATTGGATACATCAGATTGCTAATTATGAACCTGAATAAGTGAAAACAAATGAAAAAAAATAAATTCAACAAAACATACTTGCATGAGCTGCTGGACAAAGTGAGTGACATCATTGCCAGCAATAGGAATCGACTTAATGCTGCTTCCAATGACATAGCCCTCTGCAACGGGTACAACATGAGTAGCCCCATCACCAACATCCACCACAACCCCTGTCATCTCACACTACGAAAAAGTATTGTATAAGAAAAATGAAACTAATCAACTAATTCTATAATTAAGAAAAGCTAATTATGGATATATAGATAAAACACACGTTTTTCCCTTGCTATCAAGATCATCAAAGTTTTAAGAGGGTGTAAATTAAGCAACGCAGTCAATAGATTGAATGTGCAAGCTTCTGAACAAATTCCAATAAATATATGGGGGAATGGGTAAAAGTCAATAAACAGACATTTTGGCCCATAGGACAGCCACAAGCATAGAAGACAAGTACAAAATCATTACTTATCAGAAAAAGATTGACCCCTAAAACATGTGCATGTCTTAAACATGAAATAGGGTTAAATTTTCCAAAAAATTGGGAGGTAACCAGACAATAAAAGGCTCAATGCGTATATTCCTTTTCAGACTGGCATCACTAAAATGATACAAATCTTTAATTCATGGCACGTATACCTCCTAATATCTTCACATCCAACAGAGATAATACATATTAAGAAGTTTTGCTATATTTAATAAGAATTAAGAAAAGCATCTATAATGCTCTCAATATATTTTTAGGGTACTTTTTAGTTTGATTACCCGCATGCTAGAAAGGAGAAAAACACAGATAAAATATTATTGCAGGACAATCCTGATGTAGCAGCATGGTAGATCCAGTTTATTTATGTAGCAAAGTAAATCACATCCAAACATGAGCATGATTAAACTTAATGATATAAGAACCTCATTCAGACACTGCTAGACCGCTAAAAAAGAAGGGCTGGGAAAAATCATCATTCACGATTCACCTAACAATGAAATTGTGAACAATTAATCAGTGAAATACAGGCACAATAACCCAGAGAAACGGAGCAGAAATATCTTTTATATTTTTTTATTATCTATTTTTTCTATTTTTCTTACAAGTGTGAACGGGTGATATCATCAATCTTTTATCAAAAAAGGGATGTCAAATGTTTGATTCCCACTATATAATTGACTAGGTATAGCATGCTCATCTAGCCAAAAACACTCTCCTCCCATTTCATGGTAATTATCTTCTATCCATAATCCATATATACCAATACCAATATTTTTAGAGTTTGCCATTTGCTTGTTGAAATTACTGTCTAATTATTTTGAATTTTTGCACATGCATCCAGCCTGCCTTAATCTTATGAAGAATAAAAGGAGAACCTTTTTTGCTCAATAATTCACCCACTTGACGGGTACTAATTCTTTCAATAAAAAGGACATATTTTCATTCCATAGCTGCGCATTTGTAGCTACGGGTGCATATTGCTGTAGAGAAGTTCAGCTAACACGCTATCTAATAAGGGCGTAAGAATATTATTTAAAACTTTACAAATTAACACAAATCCACTACTCTGTGAAAGATTTTATTTCACATTTTAATGTATTCTTCAAATCCACAACACTGTGATTCAATTAGCCATATAAAAAGGATAATCAGAATTGCTAAGAAACATCAAAGACCTTTAAAAAGAAGATGAATCATTAATCCTCCTAGCCTAATGAAATGAATACCAACCTTGGAAGTGGTGTAACCAGCAGCCAGAGCTAGAACGGGCTGCACCGCCATGTAGAGTCCTGCAACATTAAATGTCTCAAACATAATCTCACCCATATACTCCCGGCTCTCTGGTGCAGTCAATGGGCTCTCTGTCAATAAAAAGTAATGATCCTCTGGATCGCAGCGCAGATAGTTAAATATACACTGCTGCCAGAACTTTTCCATTGCATCCCAATCATCGACCTGGCCATGCTTAATTGGATATTTCAAATTGTAATTGCTGTTCGACTTTGATCTAGTGAATGCCTCTTCCCCTATATAAAAATCCAGATCTGCCATCACACCGGCATTATACTGTGCTGACCAATTGCTGCTCTTCGCAGAACTAACTCGAGGCTGGTTGACAAATGACTCGTTCGCAGCAACTACTGTTGGGACTATGAAACATGGCTCAACATTTCCAGCAAAACCTATTTTAGTATACCTGATTATAAACAAGACCAGCAAAAAAATTCAAAAAATTACTAAGATTAGGTCATTAGGGAATTTCATCAAACAGTTTAACCAGAACAGAAAAAAACATCCTTGTAGAATACCCCGTGCCATTATCGATAACTACAGCGGGCCGAGACGTGGCAGGATCCATGATCGTGCGAAATGGTGATCAAAAGCTGATATTTTTGGAGGGTTTTAAGAAAAACAGCGATAAAGATCATTCTGACCCAACTATATTATACCCATCCATGTCATTATTGGGTCATCAAAATCATCATCATTAATGGAGGCGAAGATTTCAGGGACTCTTTTATTTGAATCGAATAATGAAAAAGAGAGATAGTTTTTCGAGTATGAATAAAAACGCAACGTTGGGTGTTGAGTTTTTTCAGCTTTATGCAGATTTGACGTAGTGGCTGAGGCTGAACAAGGCGGGGCCGGCTTAATTTGGAGTCTGGGATGGATTTGATTTGGAATTGAGGGTGCCGTAAAGTGATAGATTTTCCTGGCCATTTTCCCTGCTACTCGGTCATAGTTTTCTCGTCATCAATCCAGATACATGCTTCTGTAAAATTATAATGTTGGTCCTCAACCTATTGTTTTAATAGCAAATTAGTATACAATATTTATACTTTTGTACAATTAACCCCAATGATGAAACCATCTACATCCTTTTAAATTGAGAAATGTCATGCTATGGGCACTTTTTTTTCAAGGGGAATAGATGCAGAATTAATGTGGATTATTCAAATCGATTTTCTTTATAAAAAGAAGATATGTATTAATGAACTTTTCTGAAATGGTTTGACGGAATTTAGCCAATTGTCTTGACTGTGAGATGTCATTGATAAATAAGAATCTATATTATTAGAAATTTCTATCATAGTCGTCATACACTTTGATATCTTATTGAATTTGAGCAAAATGGGTGATATTGTTCCTCTGATCACCAAGAATTTCGATTTTCGATAAGTATTATATCATCTAATGTGAAGGACTTTTAGATCAACAATTTGAACTATTGATTATAACATCTAACTGTAGGGTTAATTATTCAAGACTGTCATTAAAATATCAATTACGCTGCAGGTACAGGAAATTTTGACCGAATTGGTACAGGAAATTAAAATTTCTTACGTGGCAATGGAAACCGGCTTTCTCCAAAATCTCACAAAACCAATCCAAAACCGGTTTTGACCAACCCATTCACTATTGCCCCCAAAATCTCTCAACCCTCTGCCTCTCTTCGCGATTTTCAGTTCCTGGTGCCCACGCCCGTTGCAAATCCGGCAATCAATTCGTCGAATCTCCTCCCCCCAACATCCGGCCGAAGTCAGTCCTCCATCTCCGGCAGTGACGGCGACGGAAGCCCACCGAAAGCCAACCTATTTTCCCGTCTTTGCAGATGATGGACGAAGGTAAGAAACCGGCTAAATCCTTGATTTTGATCCGCCTCGCTGCTACAAGTTAGATTGTCCTAGATTGCAGTACACGTGAAATGGTTTTCTTTGTCTGTACAATACGTGATTTTCCGAATCGATCGACATGCTTCGAAGTGGTGGGCTTTAGTTCGTGTGTTGATTTTGCTGATTTGGTTTGGTATGTTTACCATATGTGATTTTCCAAATATAGGTTAGCTGAAGAATTGGTTTTTGCAGTCAATTTTCGATTAGTTATGTTAATGAAGAATTGTAATCTATTTATCTTGATTCGTGATTTGGGAATTTCTGAAGGTTGGATTTGTGATTTGGAAACCACAGGTCAATTGGTTGAATTTGTGATAAAAATTAGGTAAAATCAGGTTCAATTTCTGAAGAATTGGTTTCTGCAGTGAATGGGTTGGTCTTCCAAATTCATCTATGACAATTAGTTATGTTAATGAAGATTTGTAATCTATTTATCTTGAGTAAACCAAAATTTGTGCTGGACAGAAATAGCAATTGTGAGCATATGGAATTAGTTATGCGACTTGAGATACTATTTTTTAATCTAGCGGAAGAGTTATGCTATATTAGTTATATATAACTTTGCAAATTTTAACGAAATCATTTCCATTGTCGCAGGAGAAGGAATTGTAGGGGCTGACAATCAAGAATCGTTGTTGGAATGTGATGACGAGAACATATTGGAAAATTTGAATACATTGGAGAATGAAAATGTAGGAGGCGATGTTGCGACTGAGCCAGAGGTGGGTATGATGTTTAATAGTGAGAAAGAAATGTTGGATTTCTACAAAAGATATGCTTACGCCGTTGGGTTTCCAGTGAGGAAACGAAATTCGAAAAAGGCGGATGATGGAGTTATGAGATATGTCACATTCACTTGTAGTCGTGAAGGTCGAAGAAGTTATGCAACGGGTGGTTCATTGAAGCCTCAACCAACAAGTCAGACAGACTGTAGAGCCAGAATTTATGCGTCTTTAGATAGTGTTGGAATATGGAGAATTAACAAAGTATGCCTCGAACACAATCATAAAACAAGTCCTTCGAAGTCACGGTTGTTCCGATGCAATCGAAAATTGACTGCGAGTGCGAAACGAAAACTTGAAGTGAACGATATGGCAGGAATCCCCTTGCACAAGAGTTTTAACTCCGAGGTTGTGGCAGCCGGTGGATATGAAAATATGACGTTTGTGGAGAAGGATTGTCGGAATTACATCGAACAAGTCAGACGATTGCGACTTGGAGAAGGGGATGCCATTGCTATACAGTCGTACTTTTCGAAGATGCAAGCAAGGTGCTCAGGATTTTACTTCAGCATGGATTTGGACGAGGAGGCACGACTAAAGAACGTATTCTGGGCAGATAATAGATGTAGGCAGTCTTACAAGGAGTTTGGTGATGTTGTAACTTTCGATACTACGTATCTCACTAATAAGTATGACATGCCGTTCGCCCCTTTTGTTGGTGTAAATCACCACGGATAGTCAACGCTGCTTGGTTGTGGATTGTTATCGAATGAGGACACGGGAACTTTTGTGTGGTTGTTCAAGACATGGCTTGAGTGTATGCTTGGTAAAGCTCCAAACGGAATAATTACTGATTAAGACTGGACAATGCAAAATGCAATTGAGATAGTTTTTCCGAATACGAAGCATAGATGGTGTTTGTGGCACATTTTGAAGAAATTATTTTGGCAAGTTTGGTGTTTATTTGAGAATCAAGTTAATTTGCCANAAATTATTTTGGCAAGTTTGGAGTTTATTTGAGAATCAAGTTAATTTGCCAGTAACTGTTTACAATATGTAATTTTCACAAAATTTGTCATTTTCAATGTTTCTCAGGTTCTAGCAGAGAGATGATTGGAGAAGAATCCGTAGGAGTTGTCTGCAAAGCTTGTCGGATTATTGTTGTTGCAACGTAGTTTTCGTTCTTTTGTTTGTTATAGCAAAGATGTCATGTTGGGTCGATCCGTACATCTTCTACGCTTTTTTTGCATTGTTCATCTTTTGTGCTCTATTTGCAGTGACATTCGGAACACCATAATTTTCAAGTCGTTCTCCAAGTTTGTAGTTATGTGGTAAAGATGACCATTTTGATTATTGTCACGTTCCTTTTATCATTGGCAATGACGTAAACCAAAATCAAATATGCGATCTGACAAATAACCATGTAAATTATTATAGTAGCTACTAGTTTACATTGATCAGCCCTAAAAGTTTGGGACATTAGGCCACACACAATATACACACCTTAGATAAAAGAAAAATTAAAATAAATTATCTAAGATCACAATGAAATTATTGAATAAAAACATTGGAAGAAACCACGTTACAACAACCCACGTTACAAATACAAAACAGGCAAGTCATAGTACTCTGTCTACCACAAACTTAACTCTTATCACCCATTCCAGTCGATCCCTTTCCTTTCCCATCACATTCGGCAATTCCTTTTCCCTTACTAAATGTTAAGTGCAATGATATGTCGACATCTCGTTTTTCGGTTATTCGAGCCAGACTATCAAATAATTTGGGCAAATCTTCATCTTCCTCGTTGGGCTCATGCTTCACCGCTTCATTAACGGTGCTGGACTCCCCTTTTAAAGCTTCTTGTTTCACCCACTCGAAATATCCACAGTCGTTACTACATGTGAAGAACAATCGCCCTTTGTTTACAGTATCCCGTTCGACCTCGAAACACTTCCGAACTCCGTGTTTACATTGTGGGCATCTTCGTATTGCTGAGCGTTACTTCTACAACTGTGACAAACTCCAAAATTCCTTCCTCTCATTCTAATCGACAACTGTTCATGAAACAAATATACCCACATGAATGCTATGGAAATATGACATCCCACGTTACATAAAGCAAATAGGTAGGAAATGCTCCTTCATTCATGAACTAAACATTAAATTCAGTAACTATTACTTCATGTAGTTTAAATGCCCCTAAGCTAGAATATCACTCAATTATTCTTATCAATCAACTTCATTAGGATGCTGTTAAAAGGAGGCCACTTATCTGTTAATGATCAAAACAGTGGTTTTAGCAAAAACAATGCCCGATCAGTGATTGAAAATTTACACTCCAGTGTTGGCCTTATCCATGACAATTTTCGGAAATTTACATACCTAGTTATTCTATATTGGTTTCCAAATCACAAATCTTCATTAACATAACTAATTGTCATAGATGAATTTGGAAAATCAATGCACAAACTGCAAAAACCAATTCTTCAGAAATTCAACCTGATTTTACCTAATTTTTATCACAAATTCAACCAATTGACCTGTGGTTTCCAAATCACAAATCCAACCTTCAGAAATTCCCAAATCACGAATCAAGATAAATAGATTACAATTCTTCATTAACATAACTAATCGAAAATTGACTGCAAAAACCAATTCTTCAGCTAACCTATATTTGGAAAATCACATATGGTAAACGTACCAAACCAAATCAGCAAAATCAACACACGAACTAAAGCCCACCACTTCGAAGCATGTCGATTGATTTGGAAAATCACGTATTGTACAGACAAAGAAAACCATTTCACGTGTACTGCAAACGACGACAATCTAACTAGTAGCAGCGAGGCGGATCAAAATCAAGGATTTAGCCGGTTTCTTACCTTCGTCCGTCATCTGCAAAGACGGGAAAATAGGTTGGCTTTCGGTGGGCTTCCGGCGCCGTCACTGGCGGAGATGGA